TTTTGCATACCATTACTATGGTGCATGTATTTTATACAATTTTGTTTTCAAACACTCATAACTTCATCTCGGCAAAAATTTCAACTCTACAAATGTAATAAACACAAGCACTGTACTGCCTGATTTTGGTACCATTTGTTGTAACTTGTCTGTTATTCTTTATTATATTTATTGTGACATAATGATAATACTTTATCTTGTGAATCATACAACATACTATAGTAAGTATGACGTTATCCAGGCATATCATTGATTTATTTGTCACTATGATGATTACTAAAATTACTTAAATAACATAAACAGCGACTATCTGATTTTGGTACCATCTGGTGTAACTTGTTTCTCTTATTTATTATATAATCAGCAAGATTTTATCAATTCGTAACAGAGACCTATTTTTACTGTCGCTAACGTCCCCTCGTTACCCTCTTGTTTATTTGGTCTTAAATTGAAACAAAGCTGCCCACTAGATGTATATTATCTCTGTCAAAGAACAGAATCGACCACTTTATCTTTTTAATCGTTTAGAATAAAACACTTCATAGATAAGAATACAGCTTCAAATACATATATCCTGTCTTTAATTAAAATAAGACGATCTATATTCAAATGTTATATTGATATATAGCCATATACTTGAAAAAGCCATAATTATTCAAAGTAGCGGTTTCCTTATAATATTTGATGTTAAAAATGAAAATGAAAATACGATGAAGGGCTGTCCTACGTTTAAGGAATAAAGTTCCCACGTATAGATACTTCCTCTATAGATGTTCTGGCACCATCGGTGATGCCTTCAATTGCAAGGTAGAATGCAGAATGAAACTCATCTTCACAATATCAAGCTATTACGAACTTCGTACTTGCATTGACTGCAATAGCCACCATTCTTGTTTCACGGAATGCAGCGATTTTATTGGATTGCACGCCAGAGAATACAGCCAACCAGAGCCATCGAAAGAAAATCTGAAAACATTATGGTTTTGAGTTATATCGAAGTCTCTGATTGACTGTACTAGATAATCAAATCACGAATACATCTGAAACCGGCAAATGCAAGATAGAATGCAAATGAAAACTCCACCGGTATTTTTTTTTGTTAAATGTAGGTGATACCCACGTCAGGTTTTAATTCTTGAAATAGAATTCTGAGATTTTACTAAATGAGCAGGTTTAACTCTTTAATCCAATATATTTTTCTTCTCTTTCAGTTGTTTCAGGAAGATCGATGAAATGTAGTGGAGAATGGCAATCTATTCACAGAGCCTGTTATAAATTTAACAAAAATGACATGAAAACATGGCAGGAGGCATTAGATTCTTGTGCTTTAGAAGGTGGTTCCTTGTTATCAATTGGTTCCACAGTGGAATATGTAAGTATGTTATTCGATTCTGAATATGAATACGAAATCCACAGAACTTATATATTGTTTTCACATATTAAATCTATTTCGTAAAATTATTTAAATAATTCGAATCCTTATTTGGTTTTCCTTGGGGCTAATTGAAGCGAATGGTGCGAAATGGTGGATTAAAGAGTACAGTCTATTGAATTCGTTCAGGAAAACTAGCCCAGCCTTCTGCAATGACATTTTGTTTGCCTCAACTTTGTTAATAACTGGGCACTCTTGTTTCTACTGACCTATATTGATTATAGTGGTATAAAATGGGAATCGTGCGAATCAATCTTAAAAGTGTCTCTAACAGTTATACAAAGTTAAGAAAACCCCTTTACCATTTCTTTGAACCCCATACCCAAATATCCGCTAATTACAAATACAAAGTGATTTCGATTCGAAGGTTTCTGCTATGAGGGGGATGGTTTAAAATTCGTAGCTTCGGGAGTAATGGCGTCAAAAACCTGTATTAGTATTTAAAAAGGTAACACCAACAAACTGAGGAAGACTTATAATTAATCATGTGGACTTACCCTATTGGTAAATTCAAAAATGGCGATGAAGGAACGGCATCTTGTGAAAACATCTGAAAAAAATAATTAAAACCGTTAGATTTCGTAGACTTTTAATATCAGTCTCAGAAAGTAATTAACAAAACTAATTTACCTTAAAACTGCGTAATTATTCAAAAACGCTTCAACGTTGTTTTTAGGATTTATTAGATTAAACAGGGACTTCTGGTATATTTTATAACACCGGGTAAGTCTACAGATGAATATTGACTCTCATCGGCCAAGTTTAAAAATTTCAATTTCATGTGCAATTCTAAGAGGTTGTATCTTTTTAAGATTTCCGTTTTCTGTTTCTCTGTTCTGTTAATGTTGAATTCATGTATATTTTTAGAACAAAGTTGTCAAAGTTATTCAAAAAATTATCACAACAGATGATTTGTTAACGTGGTGGATTGGTTTAAAACGGAATGAAAATACTAAAGAATTCTCTAATTGGTTAGACGGAATAGGTTTCTCTAGAAGAGTAACGTAAGGAAATGATTTTATTATTTGTGACTGTCACCAAATTCATTATTAATGTTTTCTAAATAGATTAGATTTTTTGACTGTCTAATCATGTATAGGATTTGAACGACATTTAGAAGTGAGGAGTACATATCACAAACACAAGACAATGCTATAGAATAAGCACACATATTGTTCCGTGCAATCTTTTAGGGCAAACAGACCCGAGAATCAAAAGTTTATTGTTATATATTTTTTTAGTAAGTGGGCACCCGGAGAGCCTAATAATAGAAGAAAAAATGAAGATTGTGTAGAAATTAAATTTGATGGAAAACTTAATGATAAAAACTGTCAAAATAAGAGTCCGTATGTCTGTGAACTAAACGAAAGTAAGTTCTTCATTTCTTGGTCCGATATTTGGGCTGCAAATGGATAATTTTACAGACTAGTGCCTTGTAATTGTGTAAGACTATGCTGTTTTATGAATCAAAATGGATGAATGAACGAATAACAATTTTGTTATTTTTACGAATTCGGATATTGTTGGCTTTGTTTGGTTCAACATTAAACCCCGTTTGAGTGAATTGCTCTGTTTTGCGATAAATTAATGCCTTAAAACCCACTCATTTCAGTCACACAAAGACCAACTTTCCATACCACAGCACAAGCTACTACTGTGGCAACCACAACTAAAGCAACAACCGTCTTAACCACAACGACAGCAACCACCACCACCACTACCACAACAACCAAAGCAACAACAAAAGCTCCAATTATCAACACGCCGATAGAAGAGGTGGAGAAGACGACTCGGGCAAGATCTGACATTGACCCTGCAGCTACGACGACCATGAAACCTGCCAAAACATTCCAGGAAGATTTGACAAAATATAGGAGCTGTTATTACTATAAAGGAATAGTTCGTGAAATTAAGACGAGAGAGAATGATATGAATAGTAACTCTTTTGAAATGAGAACATCATGTAGAGGAATGAAGGCTGCTGGAATCCAATGGCCTGAATCACCTCGTGGTGAACTTGTCTTCGCACAATGTGCATCAGGATCTGGTAAGTAAATTTCCTAGCCATCTACATCATATATTTCAAAATATTTTGACTATAGTATAGTGAAGCTGCTAATAGCGGAAGATGAATAAAATCTTTTCCAAATACAGTTTTATTATCGAATGCTCTGTGAAAAGTCCAATGAGGAAGTTATATCGAAGATCTTTTAATACTTCTAGTGAATGTCGGGGATTCTAATATAGCGAATTCTATGTGTAAGGTTTATGAATGATGCTAGTAACGAATGCTATGTCGAAGGTCCACGTAGAAAGCTATAGTAGCTAGGCCTAAGCTAGGGCAATTTTGAAATTTTTTTCCTGTGCTGAAAATTGGTGCCCAGTGGTCTAAAGAATCACGTAAATCACGTTGGCACGAAGCTACAAACCAACACTGAAAACAATCCATTTAAAATTGTTGTTGTCGACCTTTTTACTTGAGCATTATATAATGGATGTTGCACCTTTCAAGCCGTGCATTTTATTTCAGGGTCGGCAAGTTTTTTGTGTGGACAGGATCCAGTTTGTTGGCGAGCTCAACCAGATGTATCTGATTGTGCCTCAAAGAAATTCAAGAACCTTTTAGAAAAGACCAAAGCGGTAAGCTTCAACCATAATCAATTAAATCCTCTGTCATGGCATTGTGAAGCAACAAAGTGTACTTGACTCCGCTATATTCGCAGAATACATCGCATTTTAACACTGGGAAGTAGGCCCGCGGAACATGACTTCTATTCAGATATTTTTTTCTCTAGATATTCCAAAACAATAAACCACTAGTTCCAGAAGGGGGAGCACCTGGACTAGAAACCAAACCACAAGTGGTTGAAGTTACTGTCAATGAAACCTTAGAAGTCACAGATACCCTAGCTAAAGTAACAGGTGGTGAAGATGTGAGTGTCGCTGACATAATGTTGACGTCACAGGTCATCAAAAGTCTTACCAACACAAAGTTTAAGAAAGGACCCAGAAGCACCAAGGACGTTCAAAATATTGTGAAGGTAATAATTTATACCTCCATGGTTCGTTAACCGTTAGATTAGGGCCTACCTTGATTTTTTTTATGCAATGTAGCGTTAGATTCCCAATTTGCTCAATGTGGTCATAAGTGCTCGGTTGTTACTTTAAGTATTCAATGTCTCTCCGTAGAATGTTGTGAAGGCTGGAAGTAATCTAGTATCCAAGAACAAATCAGCAACGTGGTCAGAAATGAAAGGTGAAGACAAAGTTCTATCAGCAACAACACTGTTGGTTGCTATGGAATCAGCTACTGTTACTATGGCTGAATCTTTGACCGAACCAGTTGTAATTGCATCTAAGGATGAAAATATAGGTAAGCTATGGCATTTTGAATCAAATACTTCAAAGATGTTTCCTTCTCTCCCCTTCACTTCTCTTGATAACGTTGATTTAATACATGTCAGAAATAGTATATCAATATATCTTGTGCTTCTTTAATATATTTTTACTTTTTCAGATATGGAATTACACGTCTTAAATGTATCTGATAGTCTTGATACCAAACCATTAGTTTATGGTGAAAAAGATGCTGAAAATACATTCTCCATTCCAAAAGAAACATTGAAAAAACTAAGTAAAGGTAAGTTGATCGTTTCCCAAAGTTTTCAGGTGGATTTAGAATATATATAGAAAAAATTACTAATGTCATTGTACCTGAAAATACCAGTGTCGAAAATTCTTTGTCGGAATAACTTTGTCCAAATCCCCCTAGTTTATCTGGTGGTTATTTGCTGAAATGATACTGACGACGAATATATATAGGGATCGAAATCTCATATTCAAATCTGCCAAAACCAAAATACTGTCATTTTTGGATACATTCTTTAATTTAGGAGGTTTGGCTAAAGCTGTATTTATGACCCACTACCAGATTTCTGATATCTTACAAGATAAACAGACACCAGAAGACTCTAAAGACGACACAGACAATGTAGTAGAACCAGAGATAGTTAGTTACGTCATCAGTGCATCATTAGGAGGAGCCGATCACGTTAAACTTCCAGAGCCGATTTCATTTACCTTGAAACATAAGCAGGTTGGTTAGCTAAGACTATTTCAATATTTTTATTTTGCTATAAATACTGGCAATAACATGCGAACTTCGTCTTATACCTCGACTAAAATAGACACTATTCTTCTTTCACGGAATTTGATTTGATTGAACGCCAGCGATACAGCCATTCAGAACACTCGACAGAAAGGCTGTAAACATTATAGCTTCATGTTCACAGACTTTCTCTCGAAGCCTCTGATTGGCTGTATTTGCTAGCATACAATCCAATCAAATCACTTGATTTACAAACATCCATTATATATGTTATAAATGTGACTGTTGCTGTCAAGGTATAAGTGCGAGTTCGACATTGTTTATATGGTGCATAGAAACTAACGCAAAATGCGCCGATTTTCTAGGCTATTATTCCACGTCAACCATGATAATACTAAGTAAAAGTGTGTTTCGACCCAAGGATTCTTTGGTATCCAGCATGCGTTTCACGTTTTAAAATAGATGTTTACTTGATGGACAGAAACTTAACAACTCGACGAAGCAACTGACCCAATGTTTCTATATTAAAATCAATAAAGCAGCTTTAAAACAATTTTATCAAAATACAGTTCATTGTAGAGCTGATTTTTTTTAGCAATTCTTCTTAACATTTATGAGAAAGAGCTGACGAAATCTAACAGTTTTAATGTCTTTTTCAGACATTTCCACAAAATGCTGTGCCTTTATGTTCATTTTTGAATTTATCAGAAGGGTAAGTCCATAAAATTAATTACTGAGATCTACCTTACTTTTCAAAATAATATTATGTTTCTGACGTCATTACTCCCGAAGCCGACGGCGTAGACTAATTGATGTGTATGTTAACATGTGCTGACTGAATAATCATTCAGATAACAAAATTTCCCACATTGCAAATTCATCTAGTTTTGAAAGAAGGTCGAGAATTTCTGTGAATCTCATCAAACCATATGACTCTTCCTCGCCCCAAATATATTAAATCTTAAACATAAACAAGTTTTCATGTAATATGAATGATTCTTTTTTCATCTCAGAAAAAACTTTGATAAGAAAAAAATAAAGTTGAATGACATTTTAGGGCTCATTAAACGCACGTACTCAAAACATCTTGAATTCATATTATAATATTACTTAGCAAAGGTCGGAACAATATTCTCCGGTCATTCTCCATGGACATTTTCATATCTATTACGAACTGCGTTTAATACCTTGACAGCAATAGCCACCGATCTTGTATCGCGAAATACAGTAATTTGATTGGATTGTACGCCATGTAATACAGCCATGCAAAGCCCTTGACAGAAAGTGTGAAAACAATAAGCCATAATGTTAACAGCAGGTCTGTCGATGTCTGTGATTGGTTGTGTTCGCTGGTGTACAATCCATTAAAATCGTTGAATTCCGTCTTTATACCAGTTAGAAACCATTCCTTAATTATAAACATTACACATCCAGATAGACCAGATTCACATTCTACAGACCCTGCAGTCACTAAAACAACATCCACTCTCTCGTTGATGCCGTCTATGATGGCATGTACCAACCAAATTTATTTTCAATCCGATGCGATTTCCCACGATACCGAACACCAGTTGCGTATGGTTGCGATTAAGAATAGCGATCATAAGCAACTGTTCCAATTTAGTTTTATTACTATCATTATTCACAACCTTACTCAACTGGTGATAGCTATGGTAAGGCAGAACTGTTCAGCCATCCTTCGTACCGAGTAAAATTATCCAATTTGAAACAATTATTCAGCCATGAAGTTCTAGTCTTTTTGTTGCTTAATATCACAAAAAAATTAAGGCAACTGTGCTGACTCAAGAGAACAGTTTAGATAAAATCTGAATTTAGAGTCGAGCTATGCATTATAAGTTTATGCCAAACAGGATAGACAGTAAACGTGTTAAATATAAGTTATTTCATAACAAGACTTTTTAACTGTCGATTAGCATTCTTTTTATTCCATTAGCTTATTGCCTTTCTCCAGATGTTAACAAAAATACAAAAGTATTAAGGGATACTGTACTCGTATTTAAATAACGTACAGAATCCCTTCCTAGCTGACTCTTCTGAAAAATAAAGCTGATTTTTGCTTCTAAATGAATTTCCAAAGCAGATTCACATTACGACTCCCGAATTTGATCTTTACTTTGTTGAAGCGAATAATGATGATTGGGGGGAGGTGTCCCTTTTAGTTTGACTTATTTTATTGCAATATAGTAAACAACTGTGCCACAATTTCGTCTAAAGGGATTTTTTTTTTTTGATGAAAGGGTGGTTGTGGTGTTTTTGGTTGTAATGATCTATCATTATTTAAGCAAAACTTATTAAAGACTGGGCGTAATTGCCAACAAACCTTCACAAGAACTACAATATTTGTTTGTTCAACTATCAGTTATTTTGGTGCGTACGCGAAAATATCATCTTCCAAAAACACTGCATTCCTTTGAATTAGAAAATGCATTCTTCTGGGTAATTTTACTTGACATGAATGTAATCAGAAACTTTTTAGCAAGATTATATGAGGTCTATTTGTACATAATACATAAGAATCAACATTTTTAAAAAGATTGTAAATATGTCGGCTGGTGTAAAGTCAGAAAATATAGAGCCTGTTGTTAAAGGGAGATTTTCTGCTTCTTCTCGGGTGTCCTAATCATCATAATAATTACTATAGACAGTTTCCTGACCGGTGGTCGTAGAATGAATAGAGAGAAAAATATAAAATTAATGATTAATTACAGAAGGTTGCCCAACCGGTGATTTTAGAACGGTGGATAAAGTAGCTATACTGACGGTTGCCTAATCGGTTCTCAACACTCTACACCAGTCGAAAATGTCAAAATATCCGCAAGAGACTGGAATAGATGCAGATGTTTTAGACTACTCCTCCCCTCAAAATTGATGATATTATAAAAACATTTAAGCCCAAAGAGCCTTCAAAGCCTCAAAAATGGTCCCCTTAAACCCACAATAATCTTGAACAATATGAACTAATTTAATCCACATCACCATCAGGGGTGGTGTCATCATCATGATCATGATCGTGATTATCATCATCATGATTTTTATTTATCATTTTAGGGTAGTTGGTATTTGGTCTCAGGAAGGGTGTAAACTAGTTAAAACTGATGATTCTTCTACTACATGTCAATGTGACCATCTTACAAACTTCGCTATTCTAATGGATGTAAAGGGAGTTGAGGTACAACTTTCATTTAATTTACCCTACGTTAACACTAAAAGGCTCTTCAAGATTACTTGGAATTGTGATCACAGAATATTAAGATTTACCAAAATTCGAGTTGATAGCATGCAGACGGTGGTGATCAGACGAGAACTGGTGCTTTCAACGTGGTATGGTCGTAGACATTCCCTCTGAATTTTTCTGTTGGGTCTTTCTCGAAAACAAATTATAAAACAAAGCTGTGTAGGAACCAAAGTCTACTGCACATGGTGTTCCCATGCAGTCACCAATCCAAGTACTATCCGTGCCCGACGTTGCTTAACTTCGGTGATCGGACGAGAACTGATGCTTTCAACGTGGTATATTGTCGTAAACATTCCTTATGAACGAACTTTTCTAGTGGGTCTTTGTCGAAAAAAACCCCCAAAACTTATTTAAAGGCGATCGCAACAAAAAACTCGAAACGAAAATATACAAACAGTGAAATTTAACTAATAATTCATTTCAGATGTCGGTTATTCATTCATCTCTTCTGAGGTATATAACGCTAGTGGGATGTATAATATCTATAATATGTTTACTACTCTGTTTTATTACATTTAATTGTTTTAGGTAAGTGGGCTTCTATAACCACCTTGTTGTATCACAGAATTTGATGATTGTATTGTACGTCGGCAAATACAACCAATCAGTACCATCAGAATGTGGCTTACAAACTTTCTGTCACGGAATCTCTTTGGCTGCATTCAATCAAGTCGTTGCATTAACAAACTTCCATGATACTAGATAACAAGAAATGTTGCTACTGCAAAATTTGCAACCCATTTAAACAATGGAATAGAAGTTGGAAACGAGCTTCTTTCTAACTTCTCCCAATGCACATTGCTGGACTTTATCTGTGTCAAAGAGTCTCGATTCAGTCTATTCAGAGCGTAACGTGTGGAATGGAACGGTGTATTGAAGTTTGAGTGATTGTGGGAAACGGAGGGTTTGTCTTCTCTCATCATCACAATGTCAAGTTATTACGAACTGTGGCTTATGGCATGACTGCAATAGCTACCTTGCATGTATCACGGAAGTTTGTAAATACAGCAATTTGTTTGGATTGTACGTTAGCAAATACAGCCAATCAGATGCCTCGACAGAAAGACTGTTAACAATAAGCTATAATACAATCTATCTGTCGACGGTTCTGATTGGTGGTACAATCCTATCAAATAACTGCATTCCGTGATACACGAAAGGTGGATACTGCGAAAGGTGGATACTATAGTCAAGACGAAGTTCGTAATTTAGCTCAACGACATTTCATTTAAATTCCAATGTTATAAGATCCACCGCAAAGAGGGTATATATAATAATTGGGAATCAAAATGACCTGACTTTGAATTTACTTTGGTTGATGAAATGTTATAACAAAATTGCTTCATACTCAAAATCAATTAGATTATATAATATGATCCATATTGGCCAAACGACAAAGTATTGATATTGCAAACTGATATGTATTGTTATATTTAAGTATTCGCCTTTCTGTTTCTTTTTAGTGCAATACAAGGAGAAAGAAACTCAATTCATAAGAATTTGGTATTTTGTTTATTTGTGGCTGAGATATTGTTTTTAGTTGGTATTGATAAAACAGAAAACAAGGTAAACATTTGGTTATAATTTTACTCTATTTTTTGTCATTTTCCATTAATATATCATATGTTTTGACCTTTATAACACTAATATCAAAATATAAACCATGTCTTTCATGATAAGTTTGATTAGAAACAGACAAAGAATATCTGGTACACCTGGTTATATGGTTAAGTCGGATGCAGCCACTTCTGTTGGTAGAAGATGCTATAGATATTTTGGGGAATAAGAACATTATGTGCACAATAGGTTTAATATATATGACATGTTATATGAATATCGAATATCAATTTACATAAGGTGAATTAAAAATATTCCGAAATATGTCGACTCATTGATAGCCAACGATCGTCAAAAAGGCACTATATTTGAATTGTGAAGCAATTACTAAACAGACGGTTTTAACTGCAAATTGAGATTTTACCGTACAAAATCATTTTTTATTTGTAAAATAACTTTATCCTTCTTTTTTTCAGCTAACATGTGGTCTGATAGCTGGATTTCTACATTATTTCTTCTTAACAGCGTTTACATGGATGTTTTTAGAGGGATTATATATCATTTGTATGTTAGTTCAAGTATTTGACGCTGCTAAATCCAGATTACCATATTATTATTTTGTTGGTTACGGTAAGACCATGATTTGTCATTGAAAACTGAACCTTCCTGAAGCGCGTCACAGATTAGAAACAATAAAATTATAGCAAATTTCTGTCATATTTTAAAGTATAGCCTACGTTTTGAGACCTAAATTATATTGATTTTTATTATGCCATCGAGTGGATTTATGGAATTCAGATGCTTAACTCTTAACAACCTAATATGAGTGTTTCAAGAGATGCACTGACGTTTTTTTTAACATACACCTTTGTCATTTATGTCAAGACCTCACCTATAAGCTTAATGTGATAAAAAAAATATATATATATTATCAATTTGTTTTTGTTCGAATCCAGGTTTCCCACTGGCTATTGTTGCTGTGTCGGCTGGAATATATCATCAAGGTTATGGTACTGACAGATAGTGAGTATTTTTTTTTTACAAAAATGCCATAGCCAATCTGACGTACTATACCACAATAAACGCCACAGTGTAAACTGACGTGGGGCTTTATGATATTTGAGAATATCATAAATTGTTGGATTGTCAGTAAATTTAAAATGTTGTCCAACTAACAGTGATTCTACCTTCATGGTTCAGTTTTTAACATACTTATAGACTAACATGATATGGGGGATAACTGTTATTTAGTCAAACCATCTTTTTTCATAACTTTATATGAATAATTGATATAAATTAATATTTTTATTACTTAATAGCTGTTGGTTAACGACTGAAAATTATTTCATTTGGAGTTTTGCTGGACCAATCGCTGTTGTTTTATTGGTAAGTGTATTTGACATTGGTTTTGCCCCGGCCTTGAGTATTTCTCATTTAGTCAGACTCATTCAAAAACATTATTCCTTAGTCAATACCAATTTATGTTCAATGCATATGATATATTATGTCTTCCCTAATACTTGATCATTAAAATTTCGGGCACAGTGAGGATTCAGAGGTGTAACAACAACCATAAAGAACGCGTTGGGGGCTTCTTTTTAGGCCTACTGCCGTCTGGTTTTGCCTCGCTTAACAAAATTTTGTTTTTGCCCTTTATGTAGTTGGTTTTTTCTCTGAGATTCATTTCCGAAATCAAAATCAAAATTTTAATCTTTATTCATCTTGAAGTGGTTGCTTGATTTTAGATTTATTCTGTCTTTTAGGTGAACTCTATAGTGTTAATCTATGCCATGACAACTGTATGCCGCCATTCGGAATATGTCTTTAGTGGTGGTAAAGATAAGACTGGAACAGACATGAGGTAATCATAAAATTATTTTAAAGATTCAACACGAGATGTGTTATAATGAATCTCTGGATATAGAGTTTTGATTTGTGGAATAGTGCCAACGTTCTTTTTGCGCCCTTTGTAAATTAGTCTAAGATTTTATTTTTCCCTTTGCATAGGGCCGAAAGTTTGTAGTAAAAAGGAGTTGTGTTTTCTTTAATATAAGAAGAATTCCCTATAGGAATAAGTAAGAGTACTGATTATTCCAATATGGTTCATGAATATTGCTTTTGGACTTCGTAGAATGACAATGATGTTCACAACGGTTTCTGTGAAACATGGCTTAAAACGACACTTGTATAGTTCAGACCGGTACTTTTAGATATCGGGTATGGTTGAGAACGGTACTGGTAGACTTCCGGTATGGTTGAGAACGGTACTGGTAGACTTCCGGTATTGTTGAGAACGGTACTTGTAGACTTATGGTTTGGAACGGTATACTTGAGGATTTCCGGTATCGTTCAGAAAAGTACTTGTAGACTTCCGGTATGGATCAGAACGGTACTTTGATTTCTCGTATGGTTCGGAACGGTATTTATGAACCACGATACCCGTAGACTTTCGGTCGGGCTCAGAGCGTCACTGCCAATAAGGTTCATGTAGAATTCATTCCATCCGTTGTTGTTACAGGGCATGGATACAAGGTGCCATAGCAATAGAGGTTATACTTGGTTTAACGTGGATATTTGGCTATTGCTTCATCTCTCAGGAAACAATAGCATTAGCTTACATATTCACAGTACTAAACAGTTTACAAGGATTGTTTATATTCTGTTTCCACTGTCTCCTCAATAAAAAGGTAAGCTCAATCTTAATCTCTGGGCATGGGAGCCAAGAGTATGGTTAAACTTATATTCATGGATAGTGATAGCCTACAAATTTAAATTTGCAATCTGATATTGACATTTTTCATGAACATGTTGTAATAAGCTTCACGTAGTTCAATGTCGACGTTATTCTTTTTTCTTATTTTTGAAAGGTATATGGATAGTTGATATTGAACTCTATACTTGTATAATAAAACTATATTCCTTCAAGTGAAATCGAGTTTATTTTGCACCTTCTCATTGTCAGGCAACCCAATTTAGTCATTGAAACTAAATATTGCCTAAAGTGATTCTGACATTCGAACATTTTAAAAGCTCCATATACACGATGGGGCTCATAAAGAATGACGTTGGAAACAAATCCTTGGTAGCAAGGATTAGATGTCATCTGACTTGACGAGTCAAGCTCTGGAATGGTGCTTAATGAAACACGTTGTTACTTTCAGGTAATCAAAGAATACAAGAGAATATTCCACATCACCAAACGACCAGCTTCCTCAACACAAACAGCTTCTTTGATGAGAAAACAAGGCGCTTCTTATGAAATGTCTCATCCTAGTCAGACTGTGTCTCAAACTCATTCGGAACCTTCCAAAGCTTAAAAATTTATGTCAGTATAATGATATTATGATATACTAGTCAATGTCAGTTTAAGTATTATAGTTAGTTTCCAATGGAGCTTTAAGATTTATAATAAGGCATTTCTTCTTAGCTTTAAACACTGCTTCTTAACTCAGATTTATCGGCTTTCATAGCTTCGTGAAATTTGCAATGATTCAAAATGATATATGAAGATGATCTTTTTTTAACGTGAATTAGATCTCAATATGCAGTCTGCAAATTCATGCCATGTCGAGTAGACTTCGTATTATAGTGCTAAGTCAACCGCTTGGAAACTTATTGAGAAATTGTGCAGCTGTAAAAAACACACATAAACAATTTTTAGAAAACCTATTTACAATCCCTTTAACATTCGTTGGTATCATTGTATAGTGCTAAATTCAAAACAGTTAAATAGTGGGTCTGTGGCTTTGGATTATTTTATAAGAGTTCATAATTATTATTTGTCGATGTTAGTCTGCTGAAATTCGGAGTGTCATTCTGTATTTATTATAAATTCAGGTCAGATACTATATAATATGTTAAAATATATGTGTTGAATAGTTTATTGAGTCGCTTAATGACATTACAATTAGAGCTATACACAAGCTCAGACAAATTACCACTTATTCAAATAGATTCAATTATAAATCTCGGATAAATTTCAAAATGTCGCCCAAGTAATTATCATTGTATTATAACATGTATATAAATTGTATATAGCATTATCTGTTAAATCTTGTTCCAGATACTTTTAGCTCACAATCAAAACTTGAAAATATCATGAGGTTTGGGGCTCTCAAATATTGAAATGTGGTTGAAGACAACAGGATTTTGTAAATCGTTATTTGGCAGGCCAATCGCAATATTATTGGTTATTTGGTATGCCAATTGATATTCATGGTTATTTGGTATGTCAAATATCAATGGTTATTTGGTATGCCAATTGATATTCGTGGTTATTTGGTATGCCAATTAACATTAATGATTATTTTTATGTCAAATAGTATTGGTTATTTGGTATTTCAAATAATATTAATGGTTATTTGGTATGTCAAATATTATTAATGGTTATTTTGTATGTCTAATATTAATGTTTATGTGGTATGTCAATTAATATTAATATTTAAGTGGTATGTCAAATGTCATTAATGTTTATGTGGTATATCAAATATTAAT